TTATTATTATTATTATTATTTCAGAAATGCAGAAAATGGTAGCTTCAGAATTGCAAAAGAAACTTCCCTTTTAAAATAGATAAATAAGATTAGGGGCCTTTGCATACTGCCAGAAATAGTGCAAATTGAGTCCACTTTAATGGTTACGGTTAGGGAATCATGGGAACTGTATTTTATTGTGGCACCAGAGCTCTCTGACAGAAGGCTCAATGTCTCAGGAAAAAAAACTAATTCCCATGATTCCCTAGCACTAACCCTAACCCTTAAAGTGGACTCAATTTGCACTATTTCTGGCAGTCTGCAAAGGCCCTAGGTTGTGGTATGTATGCTGAAAGGGACTGCTTGTTACTATCTGACAAGGCCCTTGCACTTGAGTCCTGTGGAAGTGGGGCTGGAGAACCCAGGTTTTAAATTTTGGTAGAAGTGACAACATAAACAACATTTGCCACATGTTGCAGAATTGCCACCGGAGGGTTACAAGAGCAGGCCCACAATGGGAGATTCTTGACTTCATTGAATTTACACCTAGTGACAAAATTACATGATGATACTATCCACCCACAAGATAATAACAATGCCTGTCTGAAAAATCCTTTAAACGTAGCGTACAAATTAAGAAACAACAAGCATTGAGACCCTCAAAAAATGCAAAAAGCAGTTCATAAAAGTCAGAGTGGTAACACAAACGCTATATGTCATCTGTTGGCGCAATAAGGTTTTTAAAGATGCCTCAAGACCAAATATATCTGGTGGAGTGCTAAAGAAAAGACATTCCATACGTTGACACTCTCTCATCTAACCTCCTGTATTGACATGCCTGTCTAATTTTATTTATGAGTTACAATGCTCTGCGTTTATAAACCTGTCTAACTAGTTTTCTTTTTTCTGAACTGTAGTGCCGATCTCGGTGTGAATAACATTTCAGTGGTAAGCAGAACCCGTGAAGTTATATAAATTGTATTATAGTTTGTGTATTTTTATTGGAGTATAATGTGGATAGTGTTTGGGTGAAAGAGTGAGAGAAGGGAGGTGCTGAGGTGGGACTAATCTTGTTCAACTGTCTGTACTGCACAATTTTAGCATTTTGATACCACTTTAACTGCCATGTCACTGTCCTATGGACTCCTCTAAGTTTTATGATCTGGTGAAGTATCTAGAATTCTCTAGTTCAGGAGTATGAATCATGCAACCCTCTGTATGGTAGACTGCAACTCCTAGCAGCCTTAGGGCCTTTGCAGACTGCCAGAAATAGTGCAAATTGAGTCCACTTTAACTGCCCTGGTCAGTGCTAGGGAATCATGGGAACTGTAGTTTATTGTGGCACCAGAGCTCTCTGACAGAGAAGGCTCAGTTTGAGCCAGGACAGTTAAAGTGGACTCAATTTGAACTATTTGCACTATTTCTAGCAGTCTGCAAAGGCCCTAAGGCTGTGTCGCTAATAATGAGGAATGCTGGGAATTGCAACATACCATTTGGAGGACCACATAAGTACCATTGCTGCTCTGCTGCATTCCTTTGAAAGACAGCATTAGAGTTTTCCCACAGAGAATTCAAAATACTGCACGAAACTAGAAGTCCCAGGATTTCATAGGGTGCGCTGTGGCAGTTAAAAGTCCTATCATAGTGCTATGGTCGTGTACTATGGCTACAACCCTGGTGTGATAAATGGGAGTCCCTCCATTTATCAGAGCTTTCTTCCCTGATAACAGAGAGTTAAATGTTGGAGGAGGTACATTTTAATGAGGGTTACATCACAGGTGATGAGAGGACTCCCATTTATCACACCTGGTCACTTGTAGAGCAAAAATGGGACATGAGCATGGATGCAAGCCTTGCTGCAAAATAGCCTTTAACACCCAGAAGTAAGTTAGATCTTCACAGTGATACAGGAATTTTCAAACATGGAGGTTCTGGAAACAGATTTAGTTGATCATGATTAGAAATCCCTATTCAAAACTTTTCTCTCACATGTGAAGGTATCATAGATGTCTGGGAACATATGCCACCATGCCTCTCCAGTTTTTAAGAATACAGTTGTGGAAATAGGGACTGAATTCTTTGGAAAGTAGGGGGTGGGGAGAAAGATTCTGTGGAAAGGTTGTGTTCATGTGGCCAAGATTTAGACTGGTTATTTTGTACTAAGTATACAAGGTACAGGTTGAGCCTCCCTTAACCAGAATTGTGAAATCCGAAATACTCCAAAATTGTCCACATCAGTGGCTGAAATAGGGACACCTTTGTTTTCTGATGGATCCATGTACACAAACTTTGCTTTGTGCATAAAATTATTAAAAATATTGTATATAAAATTAGCTTCAGGGTAGGTGTATAATGTGTATACAAAATAATTAATGAATTTCATATTTAGACTTGGGTCCCATCTCCAAGGCATTTCATTATGTATATGCAAATATACCAAAATCCAAAAAATTCTGAAATCCAAAACACTTCTGGTCCCAGCCATGTTGGATAAGGGAGACTCAGTAACCATATATGTTAATGTAGCTGTCTGTGATACGGAATGCAAAGGGATCTTGTAGCACCTTTGCGACTAACGGAAAGAAAGAAACTGGCTTTAAGTTAATCGCAAAGGTGCTACAAGATCCCTTTGCATATTGATTCTCCAAACTAACACAGCTATATCTTCTATATCAACTATATTTCTTACTCATTATGCCCTCACCAGCCTCATCAATAGTACCAGAGGTATAGTGAAGTAGTACGCCAAAGCCTAGAATAATAGCTACCGTATTTTCCAACATCTCAAAAGTCAGAGGTCGTCTTATATGCCGGGTTGAGGAAGAGGAGGATGAGAACGGAGGGGAGAGAAGAAGGGACCCAAGACAGAGGAGGAGGAGGGGGAGAACGGGGGGGGGGGGTAGAAGAAGAAGAAACCCACTTCTAAGATTGTTGTTGTTGTTGTATGCCTTTGAGTCATTTCCGACTTACAGCAACCCTAAGGTGTTTGCTTGGCAAGGTTTCTTCAGAGGGGAGTTTGCCATTGCCTTCTCCTGAGACTGAGAGAGTGTGACTTGCCCAAGGTCACCCAGTGGGTTTCATGGCCAAGCAGGGACTCGAACCCTCGCCTCCAGAGTCATACTGTGACACTCAGATAGGGTGACCAAATGTCTTCAATGCAAAGGAGGACAATTCACTACAAAAAATGTAGGACATACAAGAAAAAATGTAGAGAAAACTAAAAACACTAATATAAATGTAAATCCATGCTTCTTAGCCATGTTTAAAATGGAGGACGTTTTGGAATTCCTCCTGGAGAGAGGGTTGATATGGAGGGCATGTCCTGGAAAAGAGAAGGCTAAGTAGCCCATTGAACTATAAATCCAAGAGCTCTCATAATATGGAGCCATGGCAGTTAAAGTGGTGTCAAACTGCATCAGTTCTGCAGTATGGATGCTGCCTGAATCTGCACTGCAGAAATAATGCAGTTTGACACTGTTTTAATTGCCATGGCTCCATCCTATGGACTCCTAGGAATTGCAGTTTGCATTGTGGTACCAGAGCTCTCTAACAGAAAATATCTCACAAAACTGCAAATCCCAGAATTCTACAGCCTTGAGCCA